GAAAAGCCACTTCCTGTGTAAAGTGGATCTCAATTGGTGGGTTGATGTTTCAAGGGGTGATTGCCAGGAGGGTCTGAGTACCTTCTTAAAAGGTATTTGGAGTCCCTATACACCCATTGGACTTCTGGTGTAGACACTTCCCGGGCCTAGAAGTGTTCAGGTGGCAGATGCCAATCAGCTCTCGGTGCAAGTGAAGGAGAGTTCCATGCACGCGGACCAGCGACGTTTGAGAACGCTCGCGGGCGGACCAGCGTATGCTCGCGCGCGCTGCGCGCAGGCAGGTGCGAGGGAGTTTGAGCTGGTCAGAAAGACTGTGACTAGTTGAGCAGGATTTTGTCCATCCAAACTCATGACTGGGTCCATCCAGCACCCGAACAGGGCCAAGGGTGTGGGATATGAGGGTTGGGAAGGACCCTGTCGAATCGGTCGAACCATTGGTGACCTGGCAGGTCGTCGGGTCCGAGAATTCATCGGTTGCCCGATGCTCCGATGCTCAACGCTTGACCGGCCGTGACCCGATTCTGTTTTCCGGAGCGTCTGGGTGGTAGAGTTTTTGAGATGCTGAGGACTGAGCACCATAGCACCTTCACTGCCAGGTCACCAATTGAGACCTCTTAGGTCCTAACAAGTCCGAACGACCCTCCAAAGGAGACCTGTTGGAGGGTGCTGGTAGTTTTGAATGAACTGGGAGCTGGTATTCGAACCTTGAGTGCCCACGGCAACCCTGGCAGAACCGAAACCTCCGACCCTGAAAGAGAAAAGAGAACCACTCCCGTTCGCCTTCCGTTAGACTCATCAAATGAGTTCGACATTGATCTGGTTTGGTGGTGTAAATCCTTTGTACAACAAGCTGATGCTTCGGGCTGAACTTCACCAGCTGGGTGACCGGCTTGACCCCCGCACGCTGGCTTGACCCCCTGTATGGCCCCCGGGGTCCTACGTGGTCGAATCCGATGGACACCGTTCGGGACACTGCCGGGGCTTCACGGGAAGCTGTGGAGGTCACCATCAGGTACGCGATGCAAGAATATAGCCGGCGCCAAGGTAGAGCCTTGATAGATAAACACCCCTCATTGGGATTTTGGGCGGGTTTGATGAAATCCAAGGTCTACATAATAACTCTTGGGCTCTTAGGGCGGGGACGAACATGCACTATTGAAGGAAGGGGTGCATGGCTGGTTGAAGAACATGCCTCTTCCAGAAGTGCACGGATGCGCCACCGACTTTCCAAGCTTTTACAGAGTCTATATGCATGTCTATATGCCTTATGATCGCAACCGCGAGACGTTTCTACACAAAATCACACAATCTCAATGATATCATGGTTTCTTCCTTTGAGCAGTTATCGGGTTAGTGGTAGGGATGACCGTTTCCTCGGATGACCGTCCGTCCAACCTTGACGGTGGAGGAGATTTCGCCCTCCGTGCCAACGCTGGTGTAGGGCCCCTGATTTCGTGGCCGGTGGTGCTGGGCGTTTTGGGGATGTCACTCGCTGGGTGCAGCACAACGGAGGGAAACGAACAATAACGACGGCTTGGGAGCCTCGAGTTCTAGGGAGCAAGAACAGTCAATCCACCTGTGGCCGGCACCATCTTGACCACCCAGCCCAGAAGTTTGGAATTCTTAGTTCTATTAGTTCAGATATGGGGCCGGACCCGAATCCTCGGGTCAGGTCGTTTCTCCTCAATCCCTAGCTCATGAAGAGCGTTCTCTTGGGTTTCCATCGAGTTTCTGGCTTCGGTGGGCTTGGTGACTGTGCGAGCTGTTGGGAGTGCGGGTGGTCCACAAAACCCAAGAAGATGCTTCAGATCATTTCCGCACCTACCCAGACGCTCCAAACAGCCCGACCGGTCCCTCAAAACCTAGGGAATGGTTCGACCCCAGACCCCTCCAAAGGATTCGGGTCCAACTCCTCCATATGAGGGCCCAGGGTCGTGTCTGGGTAGACGGAAATGACTTTGAAAGGATTCACCGGGGCCCGACCTCCCTCCCTCGAAGCGCAGGGACTCAAGTGACCTAACCCGTAACGCCGTATCCCGAAACGCAGGGGTCTCGCGAGAGATTCTGATTTGCAGCCAAATCTGAGATCCTGGATGGAGTCTTTTGGGAACTTTGTGGATGAAGGGATGGAAGCTCACTGAAAATCGGACAGGGAGTTGTTGAGATGGAGTAGTACAGAGATGTAGGGGGTGCTTTCTAAGCCCAAGTGTCTCGAAGCCGGACGATTGCCGACGCAGTCATTCGAAGCCGGTCTTCCTGGATTGGAGAAGTTACCATGGTTTCGAATTCGGGTCATGAATTCGGTGATGCAGGTTTCCTGGGGGCCTCCTTTGCTGTGTATATCCCTAAGGTCTTGCTTGGCGCATCCTTTTGCTTGTGAACAACTGGTCAATTCAGACAGAAGCCCATGGCTTTCGTTTCGTCCACCGATATCCATGGAGAAGGATTCCTGGCCCAGGCTCCACTGAACAACCAGCTGTTTTACTGAGGATTTTACACGACAAAACTGGCTCAAACTTTCTTTTAATGGTCTTGGTCTTGGAAGTCTAAGACATTTGGGCCCCCCACACACACACACACACATCTCCCCGTGGATACTTGGGGACATCACTGTCCATGTCCGAAGGCCAAGAAGCTTCGGACAAAAGGGGATCTTTTTTCAAGCACGAAAGCACCTGAAAGGCTGGCTGAAAGCAACTCCCTGGCGGAAGCGGGGCATTGGGGCGGAAGTTGGCGACAGGGGCTCCAACTCCCATCGCTCGGGCTCCAACTACCTCCTCATGTGCATTTGGACCGTCGCCCACAGCAACCACCTCCGAAACGAAGGTAAGGAAGATAAATAGCAGCCCTAAGGCAATTGAAAGGCGACTTCTGAACAACACAGAAGCATGGCCACGCTGTTCTCCGACCCGACATGGCCTTCGCCAGCCGCGTCTCGCGCCGTGCCACCGGTGGCTGCGTGGCGCCGGCAGGCGGGCGGACGAGGGACGAAGCCGGTCCAGGTCCGACCCAGGTCCCAACCTGGTCCTGAAAACCGAAAAGAAATGGAAGCCTTTTAAGAAACCTGCCCTTTTTACAAGTCTAGTTTAAGGTTATCCGGTGATGATCATTGAGTATTTGGTATGATCAGCGTCTAGATAGCCAAATGAGGTTTTGACCCTATAGGGTACGTGATGAAAGTTGGACCACTTCTAGTTCTAGTGAAACCCCCAATTCCGAACCAGGTTGCAATTCCGAAGAACGCCCAAACCAACGACCAACTGCTACATGTTGTTTTCAAAACCCTGGGCTCAAGCGGCTCAAAACCCAAGGCAGACTGAGGGTTGTGCGACTCTTGAGCTGGGTGCGGCTCCATCCGCTGGTCGTAGCTCGGGTTGACACCGTCGCAGGACTGACTGGTGCGACTCGCAAGGAATGAAGGAATGGATTCTAAGGTATCCCCCACCAGCACCCTCACTGCCAGGTCACCAACTGAGACCTCCAACACGGCCTTACAGCCCTCCATTTCGGAGACCTGTTGGAGGGTGCTGGTAGACGTCCAAAGACCATTTTTTGCACCACCGCCGAAGTGTTGGAGAAATTGGTGAACTCGGATCACTTTAAAGAGTATTTATGAAATAGTCGACTGGACTCCCAGCGTATCCAGACTATGGTGAGGGGTCATTCCCTTCTTCCCTACTACGAACCAGAGAGATGAGGACACGAAGCCTCCAACGTTTTCGTTGCACACGGCTTTGCCGGCGACCCGGTCTGTTGGTGGAAGATCTGTATATAGCAGGGGACACCGGTGGAAGCCGGCAGACGAAATTCTGTAGCACAGGTGACCATTCAATGACTGTATACTGTACCCCCAATTAAGGTTTCCCGGCCCATTGTTGGAATAAGTTATTGAAGGTCTTTTTTCCCGAACAACACTTGTTTACTGCTTTACTTTCAGGACTTTACACTACAACACCCAGAAGGCTAGGTTTTTTTTCACCAATATAGATGCAATCAAAGAAGGCGAACACCATACCAGTCACTACCACACTCCAACAGGTCAGCAGCTGCACTTTGAAGTCTCCATTTCAGCAACCAGAGGAGACCTGCAGAGGAGACCAGTGCTGGTAACGGTCTCTCTCATTTGATTGGTCAACCCTCCGACTACGCTACACAAACAACCAGAAACAGTGGCGACGCACCAGCCAAGTTCTGGCGCCAGCTCGAGATCCTGAACACGGAAGTGGATGGGACTGGAGACACACATGTTTCTTTCTGGTTTGGGAGCTGCTCAGCTTGCCGTCTCCGGAGCCTCTGCTCCAAACGCCCAAGACAGGGTGATCCGTCTCCGGTCTCCACCTGAGTCCTCCAGAACTGCGTCGTTTCTCTCGTACCCAAGGCGGCCTGGGGTCGCCCACCATTGAATAGACGAAATATCCCGAACAACCCATGTTTTACTAAGGCTTTGACAAACAACTCAAACCAGGTCAACCATTTTTAACATGATTGTTGGAAGGTGACTGGGTGTATGTGAAGAAGATGTATAATATACGTACCCGAAGAATTTCCGGGTGTTGGGTGTCGGCGAACCCTTTCCCCCGACAAGTCCAAGGATTGCGGTTTCTTCAAGAAACACGTTGACCTGGTAAAAATCCGGTCGAAGCAACGCTGGCTCGGTGTATCCCCCATATCAATCGGTTCCAATCCAGCCGGGGAATCTGTGGGAGATGTGATCCTTTCCTGAGAATCTGGGCCTTCTCCCGGAAGAAACGCCAGGGGGGAAAAGAACCTTCGAACCTCTGACAGGGGGAAAACGGTTTCCCCCTTCGGTTCGGTTCCCGGATTCTTAGGACTCTTGAATTCTGCCACCTTAGTAGTACAGCCAGGAGCCCCTACTGTAGTAGCGTCCGAACGCTCCGTTCGGTTCGCGATGCCATGGTCGCCCCGTTCGTAGCGAACCTTGTTCCTAGCGATTCTGGAACAACCACTCAGTTCATGCACCTCGCCCGGCCCGATTGCGCAGCACCGTTTTGCGCGCGCGACGGTGGTTTGCGCGGCACGTAGAACCGAGCGCCCGGTCCTGGGGCGACGATGTCGGAGTTGGAGAAGTCCTTGTTGGAAGCAGCGAAGACGTAGCTTGGGCCATCCATGTTGGGGCTGGAACGAGGGAAGGATGGACACGAAATAGGGATGGTGCACCAAGTAGTATATTCTTTCTGTGGCGCGCTCATTCTTGTTTTAAAGCTTCTCCAACCTGTATATAGTGTTCGAAGAATGGTCAGATCACCGCACATTTTGGACATTGACGAACCGAACCAGGTCAGTCCGATGGGAATGGTCATTACGTGGGGTTCTTGGGTTCTTCAGGAAATTCTGCAGGAAAGGGATCATGTGGAAGAGTCCAAGACTGATCCCTGGGCGTCCAAATCCCTCAAAGTCCAGTCGACGACGACACGAGTCTATCCTTTGCTTCGGTGGTCTCCAAAATCGTCGAACTGGACAACTCCAGGACCTTCGAAGAGGTGTCTATAAACAGCCTCTTAGAGGTTGAGAGGTAAGGTCCTGGTCTAGGGTGATTGTGATGCGGCTGGCCAGGATGGCTCCACTAAACTGCGTAACTAGGTCCAACTCCAGACTGAAGTCAGAAATCCATCCATCGAACAAAAACATAGGAATGGGTCGTTCAACCAAAACATAGGCACACCAGTCCACCATGACATGGTCAAGCGACACCAGCCAACGGACACCAGTCAACCGTTCGTATTTTCCTGCCATGATCCACCACATCAGCTTTTGGATTAGCATGGTCCAGATCAGATCTTAGGGTTTCGGAGATGAGCACACATGGGATGAGCTTCCGGTTATGGTCAATGCCTGGCAACCAGTCCCGACTCAAAGTCTCCCGAATCGTTCGAACTGCCAGTCCACGCTCCGTGTTTTCACAGGCCTTTCCCGGTCCCTTAAAAGATATACCCTGGGAGTCAAAGACTATAAAAAGAATGGTCTGACTAGGGGACCTGATTTCGGGAACTTCCCTTACTTCAGCTGGTCAAAATATCGTCGAACTGGACTTCTAGGGTATATGTACTATATACCAGGACCTTCCAACAGTTTGGACACCCCGAATCACACCTAAGAGGCTATTTATAGATCATATCTTGGAAGGTATACATACCAGGACCCTCCAACAGGTCTCCTCTGGTGGCTTTTGGAGACTTAAAAATGGCAGGTGGTGACCTGTGAAGTCGGGTGCTGGTATGTCTGTAGGCCTATAGACATTTGAGAACCCAGACCCCTCCAAAGGATTCGGGTCCGATCCCGGGTTGAGGGTCTGGCTGGAGGGACGTTTGTAGAGGAGCGATGACCCAAGCATTGGCAGAGTCGGAATTCCGTCTGTCGATTCCCCTTCACTGGAGTGCTTGGCTCATGATGGGCTACTTAAGTAGCTTCTCAAAAGATATATTCACTGACCTGGTTTCGAAGAAAAGAACCAGGTAACCTGGTTACTTATACATGCAAGGTTGACCTGGTTTTGCCGTGTCAAATCCTTTCTAAACCAATGGTACTGGTAGTTGTTCTATTTGCAGTTCCTTCGAAGGAATTCGATGCTACGAATGCGTTTGCGTCTTCAAACGTCTCCGCATTGGAAGTCCTCCAGGCTGAACTTGGAGGCGGTTCAGGAGTTGTTGAAGAAAGGTGCTGATGCCACCTACATCGAGGTGCGTCCACGGCCCAGAAGTGCTTTTTCGCGAATATGTCTCGCATCTTTCTGGCGTCTTTCGCCAGTCTTTCGCGCGCGAGAGCGAGAGCGAGAGCGAGAGAGAGAGAGAGAGAGCGAGAGCGAGAGCGAGAGCCAGAGCGAGCGAGCAAGGGAGGGAGGGAGGGAGGGAGGGGAAGGCGCCCAGTGCTGTTCTCTTGGCGACGTCCGGGTTCACGGTGGGTCTTGCTGAACCAGACGGGTTTGATCGAGAGGACAGACCTCGGCTCAAGGTAGTTCACCCCCAAGTGGACCAGGACATACGCACGGGCCGCTCTTGTTTCCCTTATATCCCTTAACCAGATCATGTTTTCCTTAACCTCATATCAGCTTCTCAAGGTAGTTTCCCTCATATCTGGGACGGAACCGGATCATGTTTCCTTTTTTCCCTCCGCCTTCCGCGGCTTTTCCGGTCGCACGACCCTCTCCCCGTCCGATCCTGGCGTCCGATCGTGAGGACCCCGAGGGAGTCTGGGGAAGCCGGGCCAAGAACGGGCCACTCCACTTGGCACTGCGGAAGAGGCCCTACAAGTCGGACGAGGACGTCAGAGGGGGTTCGTCCGGTCTGCCGCGCGAGTGGGGGAACCTGCCGGAGTTCGGGGAACCGGTCGCGGAGGTCGGGGCGCGGAAGGCGGAGATTTTGGGGGGAAGGCAACATGACCACAGCATCCGGAAAACCATCACATGCATAGATTTGTGGATGCAAATCCAATGTACCTCAGGTTGCAGGTCCTATAGGGTCACTTAACCTCTCTTGGATGGTCAGGATGTGAGCTCCTATCGCGAGCAGATCGACAACTGGACTTCGGTGGCCCGATCTTTGATTGAGGCCAAGGCCGATGTGAGCCCTGGCAACACTGGGAGTCGGAGTCCTTTTTCCGCGGCCAGCCCGATACTTTTGGGGAATCCAGCATTAAACAATCAAGAGTTCTGATAGGGAACTGAACACCTACCAGCACACCCTGCCAGAAGTCGGGTCCTGGTACATCCCGTGTTGTGTTCGCCCGCAGTCCGATCCTGGACCCCCCCAAGGAACGCCGTCAGCGAGGAGTTCGACTGGCGAGGCTGTGGCCATGCCGAGTCTGGGCTTCAACGAGAAGTTCAAGCCCTAGCAACACCCGAAACCTTCCAGGTCACCAATGGTTCAAGCTCCAACAGGCTCTTTAGGGCCTTTTCCCTCCCAGCTCCAACAGGGCCTTTCCCTCCCAAGCCTCCAGTTCGGAGACCTGGCAGGTATCGGGTGCTGGTAGAAGTCCAGTGAAAGACCATATTTCGCCACCAAAGTAAAGGAACTTCCTGGACTCGGTAAGTACCAAAGATAAAGGCTGTTTTGAACAGTTGACCACATACATCCGGTCACCTTAATCACTTTTTGGTCGACCACAGACTCTCTCAGGTTCGAACCGAATAACGATGTATCTCGCAGACCAGGCTTTGCTTGGCTTCCGTGACCTGCGAGGTTGCTGGGTGGTGTTTTTGATGGTTTTTGGGATGGTGATGGGTTTGCTTTGTAGATGAAAAGGCGGACATGTTGCACAGTTGGAAGAGTCAGAATATATGGCAAGGTTATATAATTAACCATGACCTTCCAACCTATGTTTTTTGGAAATCCTTTAACCTCTAAGAGAGACACCTCTTTGAGGGTGTTGGAAAGGGGTTTCAAGGGTTTGGTTTGTGTCTAGATGGATCCTGGTTGGGGTCAGGTTGCCTGGTTGCAACTGGTTCTGGGTCGGGCTGCTCTCGGTTCCGACCCTCACGCTTTCGCCCGACGGTCGGAGCGGTCGGGGAGGAGGAGGTGCCTGCGTCCGCAGCGTTTTGGACACCGAAGGCCATGTCGGTGTCCATGAGTCGACGGTCTTCGCTATTCATCTAGTCACAAGCTCACTCACAGGTTTCTGTCGCCTTGGGCCAAGAGATGGCAAAGACAAACACACTAAACCCTTCAAACCCCTTAATTCACCTCCTCATATAAACTGGATCTTCCAACAGGTGGTTTTTGGACACCCCGAATCACCTCGAAGAGGCTATTTATAGACACCTCAAACGGAAGCTCCCGGTATAAACTGGATCTTGCAACGACCACCAGCTCAACAATTTACCCTAAGAATCCTTACTCTCCATGGCAGGGGTCGGACCCTCCATAGCAGGGGTCCGGGCCCTCAATACCCTATGTGTTTGAGGGTCCGGATTCTTAGGGTAATACAAAAAACCTCCTTCAACCCAGAATCAACCCGACGTCCGGACACGTCTTCCTCCGGACCGACGGAGGAAAGTGCCTTCGATTTGGCGATACCCTTCGTGGTGCAAGACATCGCCTTCCTGGAGCGGAAAAGACGACAAGACGAGACGAAATCGTGAAGCATCGCGAGACGAAGACGAAGACGAAGATGAAGACTGAGACTCCAGTTGTGTGTGTTGTGTGTTGTGTATTCTTTTGTTTGCATCCCCTTTGTTGTGACCACATGCAGCTGATCTTTGGATGGGAGCAAGGGAAGGGCTAGGGGGAAGACCATCCGGTCAGTTCGGCACGACCGGTTCTTTCCACCGGGTGAGTCCGTGGTGAACAACCGGGGCGACCTGGTGCTAAAGGATCGTCTTACATAGACACCTCTTGATGTCTTTCTCCTGGTGCTTGGTCTTAAACCTGGGCACCCTGGTTGACCCCTGAAAATGAACAGTCCTGTACCAGCACCCGAACAGGGCCAGGCTGTGGGATATGAGGGTTGGGAAGGACCCTGTCGAAGCGGTCGAACCATTGCTAACCTGTAGAGTCGGGTCCTAGTAGTGATCTTTCCTTTGCTGCCCAGTGGAACGCAAGACAACGAGTCTCATGAGATGGGGAGAAGATCACGAAGAAGCGCTGCCGATTCCTCGGATTCCAAGCACCATAGATTTGGTAACCTGAATCCCAAACAACCATTGCTTCACTAAGGATTTCACACTAACCAGGTCGACCATATTTTTCATGGTCTTGGAAGGCTAGGGCATTGAACCTAATTATGGAAGGTCTATTAGGGGAGGTTTTAGGGGAGGTTTCGACTTGAAGTCACATGGGCTTTCGTACTTCAATTCATAGGGAGACACCCGAGTCCTCTCGCCCCGGTCGGCTGGGTAGACTAGACTCGCTGTTCCGAAGCGATGCGAACTCAAGGGAAGGGGTCGGAACGGGCACCAAGCTGCAAAAGCTGCAGCAAGCTTGCCACTTCTCGCGTTGGGAGATCTTCAGATCGTCCGTCCTGGTCCGACATCGGTCCTTCACCCCTCCTCGTCTCGTCCTCCGTATGTCCGTGTCACGGGGGCGAGGAGCTCTTCTTGGGCCACGGAGCTGATCCGAACACCGTCCGCCTGCACGAGGCGCGACCGGGCGCGAGCCGGGACGCCGCGTGGCGCACGGGGTGCCCGCGACGAACCGCGCAACGCCGCGGTGCGCGGACGCCGCGTGCGCACGGGTGACCTGGAAGGATCTTGAACAGAGTTCGGTGGACGCTGTTGTTCCATGCTCTGTGAAAGCAACCGGTTCCCTCCCCGGGTTCCCTCTGTTTAATCGACCAATTGGAGGGTCCGGACAGGATTCGGGTCACAAAGTCCTGCACCTGACACCAACTCTGCACTTCCACATCCACAAAGTCCTGCATCTGCCACGAAATCTGCACTTCAAGGTCCACAAACGTCCTGCGCCTGCCACGAAATCTGCACTCCAAGGGCCACAAAGTATTACACCTGCCACGAAATCTACACTTCAAGGTCCACAAAAAGTCCTGCGCCTGCCACGAAATCTGCACTCCAAGGCCCACAAAGTCCTGCACCTGCCACCAACTCTGCACTTCCACATCCACA